ATCATTTTACTGTTTCATCTTGAATGAGACTGGCTTTTTTGTTTTAACTGCATGTGATGTTCCCTTTATTCGGACATAAGCAGTCTTACCCATCGGTGCTCTTACACCCGATCAGTGCAAATGTCAACAAAGTGAAAAAAGGAAATGTGTCAGTATTCTTATCAAAATAGTGTTGACCTTGGGGTGCGTGGGTGGCTCAGACAGTTGAGTGTCCAACTCTTGCTTTTGGCTCAGGTCACGATCCCAGGGTCATTGGCTCAAGTCCTGTGTCAGGCTGTACGCTGAGCATAGAGCCTACTTGGGATTCTGTCTCTTTCTCCCCCACTCACACGTGCGCACAAGCTCTTTCTCTCTGGCAAAAAAAAAAAAAAAAAAAAATAGTGCTGACCTCATGGAATCTCCCCAAAAAGGATCTCATCAAGATAAAAAGCTTCTGCACTGCAAAGGAAACAATCAACAAAACTAAAAGGCAATAGACGGAATAGGAAAAGATGTTTGCAAATGACATAGCAGATAAAGGGCTAGTATCCAAAATCTATAAAGAATTCACCAAACTCCACACTCAAAAAACAAATAATCCACTGAAGAAATTGGCAGAAGACATGAATAGACACTTTTTGAAAGAAGACATCTGGATGGCCAACAGACACATGAAAAGATGCTCAATGTCACTCCTCCTCAGGGAAATGCAAATCAAAACCACAGTGACATACCATATCATGCCGGTCAGATTGGCTAAAATGAACAAATCAGGAGACTATAGATGCTGGACAGGATGTGGAGAAACGGGGACCCTCTTGCACTGTTCGGAATGCAAACTGGTGCAGCTGCTCTGGAAGACAGTGTGGAGGTCCTCAAAAATATTTAAAATAGATCTACCCTATGACCCAGCAATAGCACTGCTAGGAATTTACCCAAGGGATACAGGAGTGCTGATGCATAGGGGTACTTGTACCCCAATGTTTATAGCAGCACTTTCAACAATAGCCAAATTATGGAAAGAACCTAAATGTCCATCAACTGATGAATGGATAAAGAAGATGTGGTTTATATACACAATGGAATACTACTTGGCAATGAGAATGAAATCTGGCCATTTGTAGCAACGTGGGTGGAACTGGAGAGTGTGATGCTAAGTGAAATAAGTCATACAGAGAAAGACAGATACCATAGTTTTCACTCATGTGTGGATCCTGAAAAACTCAACAGAAGACCACGGGGGAGGGTAAGGGGGAAAAAATAAAAGAGTTACAGAGAGGGAAGGAGGCAAACCATGGGAGACTCTTAAACACTGAGAATAAACTGAGGGTTGATGGGAGGTGAGAGAGAGGGCAAAGTGGGTGATGGGCATTGAGGAGGGTACCTGTTGGGATGAGCACTGGGTGTTGTATGGAAACCAGTTTGACAATAAATTTCATAAAAAATATATATATATATCGTGCTGACCTCATGGAATCTACCCAGAAAGGATCTCAGGGACGCCCAAAAGTCCTGGTTACACCTTGAGAACCACTGCAACAGACAAAGCAGAGCCTTTCAGTGTGTTGCCATCCCTCAGCACCAACCGCCCAGACAGGGGAGCTTGGTGAGGACAGGTCTACCTGCTGAGGCAACGAGGGTCTTGATTTAGGGTGGGTGTTGCTCAGTGAACAAGTGAGCTAGACTTCCATCCAGTTGGTTTGAAGTCTCCCTGGTCAGCTTCCTTTTCCCCCCTTATATGTGACTTGAAACTTTTATTTTTAACGTTTATTTTTGAGAGACAGAGAGAGACAGAGTGTGAGCAGGGGAGGGGCAGAGAGAGAGGGAGACACAGAATCGGAAGCAGGCTCCAGGCTCCCAACTGTCAGCACAGAGCCCGACGCGGGGCTTGAACCCATGGACCGTGGGATCATGACCTAAGCTGAAGTCAGACACTTAACCGACTGAGCCACCCAGGCTCCCCTGTGACTTGAAACTTTTATTGTCACATTTATAGTTTGACTTCAAGTTCTAAAAAGTTTCTACATCCACTGTCCATAGCTACCATTGGTGTTTTCAGTTTAGGACTTGAAGAAAAGGCAACTTGTATTCTAGTCCTGATTCATGAATACAACACCATTCCTTGAGCTCACTTTCCATTTCTCCCACTTTCTGCTATTTCTCAGGACAAACTGTTAGTCTCTAAGGACACTTGTCATCTGCTACAAAGTATCCAATTCAAACATTGCATCCTTGTCTCTTTTGTCAAGCTCTGCATTTGTCTCTCAGGGTTTTCTTCTTCTTTTCCTTCTTCTTCTCCTCCTCCTCCTCCTCCTTCTTCCTCTTCTTCTTCCCCTCCTCCTCCCCCCCTCGTCCTCCTCCCCTTCCTCCCCCTCCCCGTCCCCCTCCTCCTCCTCCTTCTTCTCCTCCTCCTCCTCCTCCCCCCCACCCTCCTCCCCTTCCTCCCCCTCTGTCCCCCTCCTCCTCCTCCTTCTTCTTCTCCTCCTCCTCCTCCTCCCCCCTCATCCTCCTCCCCTTCCTCCCCCTCCCCGTCCTTCTTCTTCTTCTTCTTCACTTCTTTTCCTTATGGAGATGGAAACCAGGCAGTGAGAAGATGACAGGTTTTAAAAGGTCATTTTTGAATAAGGAGTTGTCTGTTTGCAGGCTTTTCAGAGTGCTGTGCTTTGTGTTTTTGTGAAGGGAGATGGTGTAAAGATGATGTGCTGCGGGTCAGACCTGCCTGAAAGTCCCGTGTTCTGTACCACTCCGTTTCTCTGCGTTTACATGTGCACCTCCTGAATCAATAATAAACGGCAGCAGAAAAAAAATGTAGGCTCCTTCTGCACCTTTAACACTCTAAGGAAGGTCACTTTGTAGGCGAAAAAACATGCATCTACTTGGCTGTCCCTTTCCTTTATTAGGAAATGCTTTTTGGTGTAGTTGAATGCAGTTTATTCAAGGGACCATTAAGGCTAATTTTCTTTTTCCTAAAGGAAGAGGCAAAGTAAATAAGATAAAGAAAAGAATAACCAGTAATGTTGATTGGGTTCCAGGGAATGTTATCAGCATCTTAATTGTGCAGAATTTTCAGTTTCATGTGTGGCCGATTCTTTAAACTCCAAGCGCCACTGTTTGCCCGACGCTGTGAGTCTGAGTGTAATTTCCGGGTCACTACTGTCAGCAGAGGCTGGTTCACACTAGAACGGATGCAAAAAACCCTTGCTCACTCTCTCTTCACACACATCCTTGCAGGCTTGGAGAGGTGAGCAAACTCTTGCTACTTAAAAGACCAACCCTGGAAGAAATTTCTGTATGTAACTGTTTAGCCTCTGCTACTCTGCTGGAGACAGCCATTGTTTGACTTCTTTCTTTCCTTCGCCTGCCTTTCATGCTTGTATCACTTTTCTCATGATTTGAAACAAATGCACAGAAACCAGTCAGTGCAGAAAAATTGCAGGCTCTCAGTGTTCAGCAATCACTGAAATAACCCTGAGTTATTAAGAAAGAAAGAAAGAAAGAAAGAAAGAAAGAAAGAAAGAAAGAAAGAAAGAGAAACACCACCAAACCTTATAAAATCTGTTTCTTATAGTGTCTCTCTTCCTCTCTCTCTCTCTCTCTCTCTCTCTCTCTCTCTCTCTCTCAGAGTAATTACAGGCTGCAGAGTGAAAAGCATTAGAACTGTTTACAAAACAGCTCATAAAGTTTAAAATAATAGGGGTGTGTGTGTTTTTGTAAAACAAAATAATGTGTGTGGTGGGGGGTAAACAGTCCACAGTCTTTCTTCTTTCTTCTCCCACTGCCCCATGTCACCCTCCAGAATTTAAGGCATGGAAATGAGTGATGGGGTCCCTTTCCTTCTGCTATGCAACTCTCACACTTAATTTGTTATGCTTATTTATCTGATGCCAGTTCTTTGTTGCGATTCAAAATACAGACCCTCAGGTGTGTGGGGACAGAGTGGCTGATGAAGCGGGCTGCTATCTAATTAATTTTAGGGCAGCCTCAATTCCCATACAGACATTTCCTCGTGACATCCGAAAGAAAGAGTTGTGGGGTTTTTTTTATTATTATTTTAATGAGCCCTTTGCTATCAGAAGTCCAAGAGAACCGCTTTCAGCAGGTTGGTGCTCTAAAGTGAAAGGGGCTTTCTTCCAACTCTTTCTGAAATCTCCTCTTGGGCAGATTTGCAAAGCTTGTGCAGCACCCCCTCCAGATTTTATGTATTTATTTATTTTTAATGTGGAAGGGCAGCCTCTAACCTCCAGCTCCAGGGCCAATCAATCATTTAGCTTTGCAGGTTTAGGTCTGCCGCGGCAAAGCCTCCGTGCTCGCAACACTGTTACAGGTCTTGATAATAGTGAGGCTGGTGCTGACAGTCAAGGAGGGCTCTGTCCCCTTAGGCGCTGACGTGCCAAGGACACGGGCTGGACGGAGGGACAAGCCTGGCCCGGAAGAAGCACCCCTTCCCCTGGTGATTGATGGAGGACAGTTAGGAGCTTCTCGGGGGCTGGGAAAGGTTGCCCTCCCAGTCACTTACTAAGAAGTCTTTGTCAGCAGAAAGAACTCTCCTGGGTACTGAGTGACATAATGCAGATGACAAATGACAGCTTTGCATTTTATTCTGCTTGATAAGTACTCAGTATCTACGCAGGTGAGTCGACGCTCCCCCACCACACCCCTTCATGCCAACCGCTCCCCAGAAGCAAGCGCTCTCCAGACGCGCTGGGGTTTCACAGGCACTGGTGGCTCTTTCTGGTCCACCGTGAGTTTCCCGGGGACGTTTAAAGTACTATCAGAGTGTGAGCAGGGACATACCTATGTCATTGTTTCATGGGGCCGATTATGAAATGAAGATACTTTTTGAGTCATTTGTTAGCAGTTCTGAATATTGTTTTCTTCTGTTTCTCCCTTTTGGAGTACAGATTATTGACATTTATATTTATAAACATAGATAATATGCTACCTTAAGAAACTGCTTCAGACCAAAATCTGTATCAGAATCCTTGACTGACGTTTCCTTTGTATTTTTTCTCGCCCTCTAGGACCCCATCTGCAGATGGTCTGGATACCTCTGAGCATAGGAATTGATTCTTCAACCAGGATACCTACTTCAAGGTATTAGCTCTCGTCAAAAGGCTTTTACATTTGAGCTCTGTGTGGGAAATTATACTTTGGCAGTGACTTTTGAAATAGGAAAAAGTTGGAATGAGAATAAAGGACAAAAGTGAATTTGCAAAATAATCAAGTGCTTAAAAAACTATCCAAAGCCTGTGAGGGTTTGCCGCTTCTGACTCATGTGCCAGTTCCCACTTAGTTGTAGCCCTTTCTCTGCAACTGTGTTTGGGGTTTGGATTTCATTTTCATCTCTCCCTCTCCCTTTTTCCCTGACTGCCCAGACCTGCAGAAACCAGGAGGCTGAGACGTTTTGTCAGTTTTGCGACGTTGGACCAAACACAATGAAGTATTCTTGCTGTGCCCTGATTTTGGCGGTCCTGGGCACAGAACTGCTGGGGACCCTCTGTTCGACTGTCAGATCCCAGAGGTTCAGAGGACGGATACAGCAGGAACGAAAAAACATCCGACCCAACATTATTCTTGTGCTCACCGATGACCAAGATGTGGAGCTGGGTGAGACGCTGGATTTTTCACTTGTTAGTCTCCTTTGCTCAGCTCATTTGCTGACCTTTCACATGCTCAGTAAACACGGAGTGAACACCGGGGGGGTTGGCGCTTTAACTAGAGTGTCTGAACCAGCAACCTAAGTCTATAGAACGAACTTGTGTTGACTGTAAGGCGTTTGGGTTTTGTTTCAGCATCACTTTTCTGGTCCTTAGTTTTTGGTACAGTCTGGGGAGGGTCCTCAAGTAATGGGGTGGAGGAAAAGGAGCAAGCACAGCTACTCTAGAAGTCAAGGATTCGATTGTGCACCTTCAGAAGCTCTTGGTCAAGAAGTTCGTTAAGTATTTGGGCAGAATTGTTTCCAAGAGTATGAGTTTATGGCTGTAATTCTTTTTCTTTTTTAAGTTTTTTGATGTTTGTTGATTTTTGAGAGACAGAGAGAGAGAGAGACAGAGACAGAGCACGAGCTGGGGAGGGGCAGAGAGAGAGGGAGACACAGAATCTGAAGCAGGCTCCAGGTTCGGAGCTATCACCACAGAGCCTGATGTGGGGCTCAAACCCACGGACTCCAAGATTGTGGTCTGAGCTGAAGTCAGGTGCTTGAAAGACTGAGCCACTCAGGCACCCCAGTTATGACTGTAATTCTACACAATGTATATGAGCACAGATATTACTACTCTCTTTCAACAGTATTATTATTAAAGGGAATGATTTATCACAGCCTGTGATAATTGTTAGATAGTTGGAAGTAATGGTGTTGTATATATCTTCTGGTGATAATTCATTACTGCCACCTTAGAGATGATGCTTTTCTGAAGAATTAGCTAACCTGGGTTAATTCTAGAGCACTTGGAAAGCCTGCCAAATTCTGGTGGTTCCAGCTTACCTTCACCATCTGATTCAGTGTCTTACCCTCTCACTTTCTGTAATGGCCCAGCCCTATGGTCTTGTCTGTAAGTCTAGGGCCAAGGTCAGGCCTCCAAGGTCTGACCTTCCAGGGTACCCTAGAAGAGATCAAAAGCTTGTCCTCAGAAGTTGTCACCGGCACTCATTTTCATTCCTGGAACCAAATTCCTCGCTCTCAGGAATCGCTCAGCTGGGCTTACCCATCACACCCAACCGGACCGTCACCGGTATCTTTTAGGCTTCGGGCTTGCAGAGCACGCGGGGCTTCCTTACAGGGCTCCTCTGGCTAGGGTTCCTGAGGACAAAACCCTCCATGCTGGAACTTGGTCTCCATGGAATGGGACTTTTATTTCCAGTTTGAACCGAATCGTGGAATCCCAACAGAGTTAATCCCTTGGCTTTAGCTGGAAGCACATACGCTAAAAACCAGCAGCGGGTCATGATTTTTGATTTGCAGCGTCTGCTGTCTCTCCCTTCACTTTTTAAACAAGAGTATCGGTTTTCAGGCAACACGCCCAAATGAAGTCTTGGAGATATGACTTTAGCATGTTTGTGGCTGGTGGTTTAAGTTTTCACCAATCTATAGAGCAAGTAAATTGAGGTGAACACATTTGAATTCACCTTCCTTATCATCTCTTGTATCTCTTCCTTTCACTACAGCCACAATCTCCAGACCATTCTCTTGTCTCCTAGTTCTTCCCTAACTGGTCACCTGACCCACTTATCCCCCAGAGTCTTGATGCCTCTTGCCTATCCTTTACTCCATGGCTCGAGTTATCATACAAGTATCCAATCAAGTCTTTTCTGCTTCAAATTCTCCATCGTGTCCCTTTGGCATGAGCATTAAGCAACTCTCCTCTGAAGGCCAATGAGCTCTGGGCCATCTAGCCATCTTCTGTTTCTGTTGGGCTATTCCCTTTTGCTCTGTGCTTCATGGAAATAACTCGCACTTCCCCCTAACGCTTCTGGTGGTTTCATCTCCCTCACTTATATTTCATGCCTTTGCACATCTTGTCTCCTCTGTCTTTCCCCCTCTCTCCCCCCGAGGAAGCCCTACCTACTCTTCATGACCCAGTTTCAGATGCCTTGCCCTCGGGGATCTTTCTTCACCAAAACCATTCTCCCTTCCATCAGGGTAGATGGAACTTTCCTTTGTACAGCCTTGGACATGCGTCCAGCATGGCCCCTAATCCATCATGTGCTTCCATACCTGTTTCTTCCACTGGCCTGAGAACAACAAGAAAGGAAGGTAGTGCTTTGTTTATGTTGTATTTCAGATACTGGGACCATGCTGGGAATATAGTGGGTGCTAAATAAATTCAAAATTAACCTACAAGGGCCTGAAAAAGCTAATATGGGTATCTGTCATAATCTACCTCTTCAGCATATAGTCCTCGTCTTTATATATATACTTTTAAATAGGCTGCATGCTGGGCACAGAGCTCAGTGCAGAACTTGAACTCACAACCCTGAAATCAAGACCTGAGCTGAAATCAAGAATTGGATGCTTAACTGACTGAGCCACCCAGGTGCCCTTCCTTGTCTTGAAAATAAATTAAAGAAGGGGTGCCTCGGTGGCTTAGTAGGTTGAGCTTCTGACTTCAGCTCAGGTCATGATCTCACGGTTCATGAGTTTGAGCCCCACATCAGACTCTGTGCTGACAGCTCAGATCCTGAAGCCTGCTTCGGATTCTGTGTCTCCCTCTCTCTCTCTGCTCCTCCCCTGCTCACACTCTGTCTCTCTCTCTCAAAAACAAATAAAGATTGAAAACATGAAATAAAATAAATTAAGGAATTATTTGACACATTTATTTTTAACAGAGTTCAAAATTTCACCCTTTAGTTTCACCCTATAGTTTCTTAATTCATTGAGCAAATATTTATTGAGCAATTACCAAGTACTGGCTTCTATTGGAAGCATGTGGGTATAATGGATACAACTCATAGACCAGGCTTAATCAACCCAGTTGTTTCCTGTATATTTTTCTCTACCTCCTTCCTTAATTTTCAGCCAGGTGTGATGCCAAGCATTCATTCATTCAATTTTCACAATAACTCTATGAAGTAGTTACTCTCTTCAATTAACGCGTAAGTAAAATGAGGCTGACAGTAGTCATTTGGGCTGTGACGAACTGGTAAATGGTGAAACTGGGACCTGTGTTAGGTCCAGGTCTCCACAGCTACGCATCTAACCGTGATGCCTCCCATCAGTCCTTCAACAAATGTTTCAACCCCTTTCTAAAAGCAACCTATAAATGCATAGTACTGTTCTAGGCTCTGAAAGAGACGTAACAGAAGCATAAGATGGGTCTTATTACGTCACTGGCAGAACATGATAATGAACCACAGTGACCCGTGGGGTAAAGACTAAAAAAGACCTCCTTTTGGGTGGCTCAGTTGGCTGAGCATCTGACTTCGGGTCAGGTCACGATCTCGTGGTTTGTGAGTCTGAGCCCCGCATTGGGCTCTGTGCTGACAGCTCAATTCCTACAGCCTGCTTCAGATTCTGTGTCTCCCTCTCTCTGCCCCTCCCCTACTCTCTCTCTCTCTCTCTCTCTCTCTCTCTCTCTCAAAAATGAATAAACACTTAAAAAAAAAAGAGGGGTACCTGGGTGACAGGTGAATGTCTGACTTCTGCTTGGGTCATGAACTCGCGGTCCGTGAGTTCCAGATCCACGTTGGGCTGTCTGCTGTCAGCTCAGGGCCTTCTTCAGTTCCTCTGTTTCCATCTCTCTTTGCCAGTCCCCTGCTCATGCTCTCTCTCTTTCAAAAATAAATAAAACATTGAAAGAAAGAGAGAGAGAGAGAAGAAGGAAGGAAGGAAGGAAGGAAGGAAGGAAGGAAGGAAAGAAGGAAAGAAAGACCTCCTTTCTCTGCCAAACAGTTGTGCCCTTGGTGGTGGACACTACCTAATGGAGACTTTTGCCCAGGCTTTTGTAATGTTCTAATAATCCTTCTGGAGCCTAACTGTTCTAGACTTTAGTTGTTGTTTTTATTTGTTAATTTTTACTATCTTAACCATTTTTAAGTGTGCAGGTCAGTCATGTTAAGTACATTCACATGGTTATGCAACCATTCTCCAGAAGTCTTCATCTGACAAAATTAAAACTTTGTACCCATTAAACAATAACTCTCCTTACCTCCAGTCCCTGGCAATCGCCATTCTACTGTCTCTACAAACTGGGCTATTCTACGTACTTTATGTAAGTGGAATTATACCACTTATGATAAAGGAAGAATATTTGTCTTTTTGGGACCGATTTGTTTCACCTAGTCTAATATCCTTCCTCGAGGCACATCCATATATCAGAATTTCCTTCCCTTTGAAGGTCAAATAATATTCCATTGTATGTATATGCCACATTTGTGTACCTATTCATCTGTTGATAGAAATTTGGGTTGCTTCTACTTTTTGACTTTTGTAAATAATGCTTCTATGAACATAGGTGTATACATACCTCTTTAAGACCCTACTTCCAATTCTTTGGGATAAATACCCTGAAATGGAGTTGCTGGAGCTTTTGATAATTTTATTTTGAATTTTTAAAAAAACCTTCCATAGTGTTTTCCATAACAATGTCACCATTTTACATTCCTACCAACAGCGTACAAGGGCTCCAATTTCTCCACGTTCTTGACAACATTTGTGGTCTTGGTTTTTTGGGTTTTGTTTTTTGATTTTTGTTTTTTAGTAATACTCATCCTAATGGGTATGAGGTGGTATCTCATTGTGGTTTTGATACAGTTGGGTTTGATTTTGTTTTTTCACTTACATGTAGCTATGCTTGCCAAATGCTTAAATAGAATAGCAAAATTATTTGCACCTGTAATACTGCAGGCACTTTTGGCTACTGTACCTCCAGAAAGATACAACAGACTTATTAGAAAAACAATTACAAAAATTATAATAGAATGCTTTTCTTTAGGGGAGAGAATAAAACTATTCTACCTCTTTGTTTGGAAAGACAAAGTCTGAGGAGGGTTGTAATCAGAGTTTATGAAATCAAGCTCAGAAGGAAAGCTTTTATTCGGTGGGAACGGGGGCCACTCCCTCAACTTTGTCTAAGGACAAATAAAATAAACTGGTACTCTGTGAAGGGAGG